TGGTTATAAGGTAGCGTGGTCCTGTACTAATACTTAACCTAGTCCCACTTTAGAATTCATCAGACTTCTTCACGAGTATGGGGCATTGGCACAATGGAAATAACCATTAAACAATCTGCTTACAGGGCACTTCAAATCATTGCCTTTAACTGCAGTGGGTAAATGACCTCAAGTTCTTAGCGAAGTTTTACGCAATGCTCTATGTTGAAACCTGGACAAAGAAGAGCCTACCAAACGCCAATCCTGCTAAGACAGTCATGGTTCCCTTCATGACCGAAAAACTGAATGCATGTAATAGAGAAAATTTCAGAAAGAAAGAAGTTAGTAATATGCATATTTTCTAATATACAGGGTGGTCCATCTTTTAAAAATTCAAAAAAATTAAGTTAATAAAATTGTTTCGGTATATTGTCACTCTCTGAGGATGCATTCGTTTCTCGACGACCTTGTTCGGGTTTTCCAATCCCCAGATGCTGCAGTTTTGCTTGTTAACATAGCCGCGGAGATGAAAATGCGCTTCATAAAAGATTATTTGTCGATCAACATCGTTGACCTTTCTGAATTGATCGAATTTGCATTATTCCCCAACGTTGTTCAAACATAAAATGATTCATTACTTTCCACGGATATATGATACTGACTTTCTGTAAAGATTTCCACTGGGAGAACATTAACGGACCATTACCAGTGAGGCGCATGAAGTTTTACACACTAAAATTATCCGCGAACCTGGGAGGCGAAGATGGGAGGCTGATGAAAAGGGATAGAAAGGAGGCATGGTGAGGTGAACTACTACTTAAAACAGCTGCTATCCGGTCATGAATACTTTCGGAAATACCTCGACACAATAGAAAAAGTAGACAACCCGAGCTGTATCTATTGCAGCTGGCCTGATGAAGATGCTGAAAACACATTTATTTTTATTTTTTTCAATGTGAAAAATGGTGCAGAGAACGCTCAAAAATAGAGGCTTTTATAGGCCCGGCAATAACCGAGAACATCATACGTTTGTAGAAAGAATACAACGTACAAAAAAACACAACTATAAGTTTACACGATATTCAAACCTGGCGGCCCTGAACGCAGGTAGAGTTGAAAATGACCCAGTAGTGTTCATCCTAGATTCTGCACCTTAAAGTAATGCGAAAGTAGTTCCAGGGTAAAGGAATATCCAGGGTAGAAGGAGGGATTGTTTTAGTGGCTACACCACTCACGTAGGAGCGTTTACGTTATTGGTGTTGTTATTGGATTATCGCATCCATCAAACACTTTGACGAGCCAGATCTAGTCGGGCATTGGAAATTGCTTTGCGCTAAGAAAACACAGGAAATGTTGAATCCTGGATCCTGAATTCTCATAGGACAATGTACCAATATCGAGAGCAGCTGTTTAATTACGGAAGTTTTTCTTGCAATCGAAATTGTTTGCTGGGTTGTTTATCGTTGCAACCAGCTAACCCCAAATAGAGTCTCACAAGTTGCGAGTGGAATACGAAGTTCAGTGGTTGCAATCACTGTTGGCATGGTTGCCCAGTTCAATAATAATTGTTTAATCGATTCGGCACCAAAGTAGCTTTAGAAATATAAAGACGGTGTCAGTTTTTTGTTTTTGAGTTTTCAAACGAAATAAACAAGATACATAAGTATCTAATTTAGTAGACTGAAGTCCGAGGAGCATTTAACCGCACCACCACCATGGCAGACAAGGAAAGGAAAACTAAACTTATCGAAAAGTATGAAATCCCATTGAACCATTTGGATTTCGCCTATATTCGTGAGTGTAAAAACGCGAGGGAAATGGAAAAGATCGTACAAATTTTACGTTCCGGTGAAGAAGGATATTTTCCAGATCTCACAAAATGCGCTGAAGATAAGTTACGTGAATTGAAACCAAACAGTCGCCTCTTTCGCTATGAGGAAAAATTGCAAGGCCGTGAGGCGCTCTCCAATCAAGATTGGAAACCGATTTACGTAAGTGTAAAGGGGATCGTCAACATCAACACAAAAATCCATATTTGGTATTTTTTTGGAAATTGCGGTTTTTTATACATAAGTACAGATATTCCGTTACGTAGCTCTCAGCTATGTATGCACCCCTGTACTAAAATGATGTACTAAAATTAAAAGTCGTATCTTAAAAAAGTATGTTTAGAATAGCTCTGCAAACATTTACTTTGCAAATTAAAGTCTTTTGCTTCCCCTATAAAATTTCAAATTTTTTAAATAAGGCGCATTGGACATATCTATGTATATTCCCTCACTTTAGGAATGGACAAATAATATAAAAGTAAAAGATAAGGAATTATCTGTTGCTGAGAAGATGGTAGCTGATCTAGACGTTCCTCCAGTGCGCAAAGGTGGCACTATCTTACAATCTGGCGAAAAGGCGGATTCGGTGTCAACCCAAAGCGCCATTGATCGCATCGAAGAAAGCAAAACGATAAAAAAGGCTAGTGACCGTATAAAATCGACTGACTACCAAAAATGGGATAAATACGATGCGGATGAGGAGTGTATACGTATGGAATTAGCAGAAGAGCGCGTGCAGGAAGAGATTGAACGCAAGAATCGACTCAATAAACAAAAATCCAAACCGCAGCGAAATGTTGAAGGTGGCAGGGATGCCAAGGAACGCGACGTGAAAAGCAAACTCACCGCAGTAGAACGGGAGAGTCTTTCAGAACAGTGAGTGCACATTTTCTAGATAAATATGTATATTCGAACCACGCACATTAATTTTTTAATGAATTTACAGATATCGACTGCGTGGTAATGACTATTTTCGCGCTAAGGAATATGATAACGCTATTAACGAGTATAATCTCTCCATAACCATTTGTCCAGAGAAAGCGGCGCCAGCGTACAACAATCGTGCCGCGGCGAGTAAGTATTTACGTACATACATATGTAAATACATTTAAGTCATTACATACAAAATTTACACCTCAATGCTGTTTTGATGTGAAATTTTTTTTTTTTTACATTCTTTATCGGAAAAAAGAACACACCTATTTTTTTATTTCCTCATGATATTCGAAAATTTCGAAAAAATTCCCGAAATTTTGAGCTCACAGATAAGTCTTTATTTTGAGTTTTCTACAGTTAATAAACTACGTATTTGTCGCAGGAAATCAGTTAAGTCAAGAAAATGTGCGCAATTACCTCGGCTTTCCATTAGAGTGTGGGATGGATTTAAATAAATAATTCTTACATTAAAAATTTGATGTTTTTATATTTCTTATCATTTTTTTTTATTAATTATACACCGTTTTTTTTTTGTTTCATTCTTAATAGTTGTCAAACTTCATGGAGTACACGGTAAAAATTTCAGAATGGAAAACCCAAAACTGTGGAAGTTACGAGTTTTTCCATACCTACATATGTACATAAAGTAGCACAGGCAGCGCATTCCGAATATGCCACATGAATGAATTCGGATTCCATAAATAATGGGAATGTTTGCTATTTCAAATAAACCAATAATTATCTACCGAAAAAAATTGTTAATTTTTTTGTATTTAAAAAAAAGAAACCACCATATGGGCAACCCTGGTTTAAGCTTCATTATTGACCAAATGTTTTTAATTAGATTTCCATCCGTCCATAGCGAGATGCACAGAAGCATATTTTTATGGAACCAGTTTTCTTATGAGCATCGGATTTGATGGCCCATCGTCCGACTATGATGAGTTGCGAATAGCATTTTCACGGCTTAACAAAAAAGCTTCTGGAGCTGAAGGGTCAGCGGGCTGCCAGCTGAGCTATTTCGCTACAGAAGCGAGGGGTTGGTACGGTGCATACGAAAATTCCTATGCGGAATATGGTCATAACGACGGACCAATGAACTCGTATATTTTGAGTTATACGTCCGTGGAACTTCGGCTTCAGTGATAGCTTTTCGTATATTTCACGACTACGTAGTTTAACCTTTAATTAGGAGGATATTTTAAAATTTTGCCAGTGCTTTGACATACATAATGCTACTACTTCCGTTTCATCTTTTTTTTAGAAATAAAACTTAAATGGTATTCCGACGCTATCAAAGATTGTGAACAATGCCTTCAGTTGGAGCCAGATAACCTGAAGGCCAGATTAAGGCTAGCAGAAGCCACTTATTGTAACGGAGAAAGACAAGAGGTAAAATGGCTTAATTGCATACATACATACGTACCTACATATCTATATACATATGTATATATACATACATACATATGTATGTGCGTATGGTCAAAATTTTGAGATCGAGGAACGAGTGGAGAAAAGTTTTTATTTAACTCACCCGCTAACTCTTGATATATTTTGTTAGATCAAAGACAAACATACCTTACATATATTTGCATGTATAGTAACTACATGTTTTATGTACTTAAAAAAAAGTAAATTTTCTTTTGCCCCTCAGTCGTATGCATTATACCTGAAAGTATTGGAATTGGAGCCCGGAAATGCCGCTGCCTTAAGAGCCATAGCAGAACTAAAGAGTTTGTATGGCGATTTACCACCCCCTACTGCTACGCGTCTACAAATTCAAGAGGAGAGTAAAACAAAATCTATGAACGACGGCAAAGTTTCAAGGAAGAATAAAAAATCTAAAATCATTGAAAAGCAAACGACTAGTACCACACGGCTTGTGGAGTCGCCAGTTTCAACTCCAAGCGCCGCTTTAAATCCCCTCATAACAAAACCGAATGATTATGATTTATCAGATTTGATTAAACCGAATCGCTTAGTTAAAAATAAATTCGCCACTGCAGCTGCTGCATTGAGCAATATGAAAACCATTAAAACCCAAAAGCAGCAAAAAGGACAAAAGGACACACCAAAAGAACTAACTGCTATTAACAAGCAACCGCCTAAATTTCAACCCGAGTTAAGGCTACCGCATGATACATCCACGACTAAGGGGAAAATTTTGATCCAAGAGATTTAAAACAACCATAGCTTTACATCACATGCTCCCCCTTTTCTTTATGAATTTAATACAAATTAGCTCAATGGTAAATATTATTAGATGCTTAATTAATAAAAAATATAACATTTATTTTCTTGAAAACAAGGCCACAAATCTTTCTTTATAAATACAGATACTTAAGTGTTATTTTTTTTTTTTTAAATAAAAGCAGGTTCTATTTTGGTGTCGATTTTACTATACATCGCTTGAGAAAATGGGACAGAAGGATGAAGGGACGCTCTTCATAGCCTTTTAATTGCGCTTTTGTTGCTCTGATCTGAAATGTTAAATATAAATATATTTAAATGCTTGTATGTATTTTTACAAAAAACCCCAAAATGCATACCTGATCTCCTTCCAACCGATTTAAAAGCGTAACGCATACATCTGCAGCCCGGATACCACAATGCAGTGTCAACGAAGCAAACAGGGGTGCCTCCATTTCTATGTTCTTTATGCCACATTCATCATGACAGCGCCGCAGAAAATTTAATTTATCCGCTACTGTGTAAGGCTCATTATTGGCGTTAGTGCAGGAAGCACCATCTAGGCGACCTTGTCCTAGCATAAAAATAAGGAATTAAAAAGGCATTAAACATGTTTTAGGTAAAACTTAAAAGATTATTTGATGGTTAATGATACATATATTAAATTAACAGTATAAAACATGTATCTTCGTATAAAATATATGTATAAATTATTAGTTGAATTTCAAATTTCGTTATATTAAGACGTATTTTTTTTTTGTTTTCGTACGAATCCAAAAATTTTAAATTTTTTTACAGAAAATGATAAAAAAATTTCATGCTTTTCGATTCGTATGAAAACAAGAATCCGCCCCATTATTTACACCTTCATAGAAGCAGTCTGTTCCCATCGTATTTCCTTCGATAATATTCCAACTACTTTCTGCTGTGGCATCTGCTGCTTCGGCGCAAGTGAGCAAGTCATTACGCAATCTCTCGTCAAAATAAGCTGGTCTCGCAACGCGTTCACCCAAGATAGCCTGCAATTAGGTAATAACAAGAATGAAATAAAGGTTGTTCGGGACGGGATAAAATTTCGGGCCGAGAATTCCTCTTGAATTCCGCCGCAAACGAGGGTCGTCAAGGTACCGAAGCCCTGAAGTCCTTCGAGGGTTGATTACAATTCGAAAATTTGTCAACGAAATGAAAGGTAATAAAACACTTCACTTTTCACTATATATGTATATGTAAGTGCCTGACGGCCACTTTATTGCATATATGTAGGTATACTAGCGATGCGATTGACAACTAAACAGATTGCAGCCCTACTAAAAAATAATATGTAAATGCGCATCTGGAGGCCAAGCCCTTTCATTTGACACCTTACTTCTTGTAATCCAACGAACAGCCCACATTTTTTAATTTTTCGCACAACCAAGGGTTCCAACCCTCTTCAAAAAATAAAACCTTACTGCAAATCGGAAGGTTAAGCCTTTTCCTTTGACACCTCATTTCTTTATATCGAATGAACTGTACAAATCTAATGTCATTAACAAAAAATGTCCTCGCGTATTATACATACATAATTTTTAAATAGGTGGCAACCCCACTAAAACAAAAAATAAAAACTTATTGCACATGCAGAGACGATATCCTTTCACTTCTTACCTCAGATTTTAGTCCAAAAAGCGAAGAAGTTCGTACAATTTTTAAAAAGTGGCAACTCTACTCACAAAGTAATACATTATTAAACATCTAAAAGCCTAGCTCTTTATTTGACACTTCATTTCTTCTAATCTAACAAACAATGCGGATCTAATAATTTTTTAGACAGCTGACAACCCTATAGGAATTCAAAGTATGTACTAGAGATAATATTCCTATCGATACAGATTATACTTAAAAACTCTCGCATAAATCCGTTCAGTAGTTTTTGAGATTAGCGTTTCCAAATTATCTCGACTTCCTTTATACTACGTATAGAAGATAGTAATTTTTAAATAGCTGGCAACCCTATTCAAAAAATGAAAGCTTTTGTACATGCGAAGCTCAAGCCCTTTAATTTGGTTTTCCATTTTGTAATCCAACGAACGGTGAAAATCTTTTCATAGATGGCAACCCTACTCAGAAAAATAATACATTATTGTACATGTAGAGACTAAGTCTTTCCGTTCGATAGTGATGGTGCAGAATTAATTCCTACGCTTATTATGATTGAATAGTAGTTTTAGGAACAGGTGGCAACCCTATGCAAAAAAAAACATTAGTGCTTTTCTAGAGGCCCTTTCATTTGACGCCTCATCTTTTGTAATCCAACTAACTGTGCGGTCCTTATAGTTTTTTTAGACAGGTGGCAACCCTATTAAAATTCTAAGTAAAAAAGGTCACTCTCCTGTCGATACAGAATATATTAGAAAAAATCTCGTCAAAATCCTTTCAGTGGTTTTCGAGATTAATAATAATAATAATAGATTGGCGCTTACACATATGTTAGTGTTTGGCCGAGCTTCTCCTCAGATTTTTGGCGTGCGCCTTGATGTTGTCACACAAAGCGGAGGGACCTACAGTTTTACGCCGACTCCGAACGGCGATTGTATTTTTATGAGAAGCTGTTTTCGAGATTACCGCGTACAAAAAAATCTTGACTTTCCTTTATACTATGTATAGATGTTCAGTATAATTAAATGCTATAGCAAAAGGTTATATTTAAAATGTATTATTAATTAGAGGACTTTACTTGATGCCCGGAGTTGTCTTCCAATGTGTAGAGTGTTGGGTGCTCGCAGAAGGCCAAACCTAACATCCGAGACAGGTAACAGGACTCGAGAAGAGGGAACTCGAGTAACGAGTAACTACAAGTGAAATTCTCTTATCAATAAACATGCTTAAGGTGAAGGGGGTTAACGTAAACAAAGGTCATTCCGATCTTCTATCAAAAAATGCCAGAGAAGAATGCCACGTATGAAATTATTTAGCTTCAACGAAGTAGTTCCATAACATAACATCAAGCAGCATCTAGCTTTCTACCCAAGGGCGTAGCCAGGGTCTGAGGTAAGGAGGGGCCAACGAAATATACTTGTTAATTTTTTTGAATATATTTATTGTTTACTAATTTTACGCTAATACCGATTTACAGAAAATTTTGGATTATTTCCTCCTGAATCATCTCGCAGTTTTCTATGGACGCTCATGAGGCATAGTCCAGAAAGCCTTTGTTCTCCTGTTGTGCTTCTGAGCCAAGTTTTTACTCTTCGAAATGAACTAAACGATCGCTCCACAGTAGCTGTTGCGCATGGAAAAGCACTCAAAATGGAAATACACTTACTATCTATCGCTAGTAGAAATTCGCTTTATTCTTTAAATAGATCTACAACTTCAACATCCTTCAAATCTTCTTCAGACAAGATCTTTTTCTTCCATAATTTGTACAAAAGAATAAGTTCACTGCCCATACCTGGATCAAAGATCTGTTGTACGTTCTTTTGTACCTTTTCACTGGAACTTTTAATCGAATACAATAGGTGTCATCTAGATTCCAGACAGCGAAAAAGCTGGACTCTTTTCATTGGAAAAGCGTAGTTATAAAGAGGCCGTTAATGAATCCATCTGGATTAAACATTATAGACCCCTCTGCCCCTACCTGGCTAAGCCCTTGTTTCTACCTACAGCAATTCATGGCGATCTGGCGAACTTATTATTAGTAGAGATTTCCAGAGATTCCTCTACGACATAGAATATAATAAACTTGATTTGCAGTACGACCTTAGGTCTTTTAAGTTATCAGAGATCATCACAAAACTTTGTCCAGTTTAGCGAAGTATGGAGATTTTTTTGTACCCGTAAATTGGATTTTACCTTAGGTTAGGTTAGGTTAGAGTGGCTGCCCCGTGCAGAGCGCGGAGCTCACGTGGGCAGGAAAAGCCCGTTGTGATACCACTGTGCGGAGCCATTTGCTTCTTTCCCTCCCTTAGTAATTGAACCACCGAGTGCGCTTTATATAGCACGAAAATTCGAGAAAACAGATTTTGCTTTGAAACTGTTGCCACCGGAAAGCCCAACACTAAAAAAGAAAGAGCAAGCACCTTTTCGTTGGTGCGGGGGCTTAGCTGAATTACCGACCAGCCCCTACCCTGGTCAAGGCCCCTTCCCTGGCGAGCCTTTCTACAATTAAATTTTTTTAAGTAACATGTGAAAGAAGGATCTATAAAAAACAAATGCAAAAAGAATACCAAAAGGGTATGCCTCGGGCTATTACCGTTTCGATTCGTTAGGCTACACTGGCCCTCATGGCCTCATATGTAGTTTTGTTAGTAAGAGATTTTTCTATTTGTGTGTTTTAGACCGAACTCAATACTGCATTTCTTCGGCGTCTGACATTGCTTGAGGTACACTACTACTCCCATCCCCCATGAAAAACCTGTTTCAATCTGAGTCAACATTTTGGTCACATACGAAGAGACCAAGCGAATGCGAGAGCCTGGCTTGCATACATAAACGGAGGGTGTGGGCGAGAAAATGTTTCAGAAGCATAGTCAGAAGAGCTCCCAGCGAGTGGTGGTAAGTTGTAGCAGCACGTAGACAGGGGCCTCAAAAAGTTCTTCAAGTTTGAACAGAGCTTAACGTATTAGGGGAGCTGAATCCCAAAATCAGGCATGGAAGATTCCAGTCGTATTTTCGTACTGCTAAACAGATTTGACGTGATGTTAAATGTGTAACAAATTGTACATAATAGTTTTTTAGGTACATTTGTCAGCTTTTAGAAAGAAAATATTTTCCTCAAAATAAAGACAATTCGGAGATTTAATTTTCTACTCTTGCCACATACTCGAAAAAAATGGTAAAGCCGCCCATTAACGTTCAGACAGCAGGTCGAACGCTTCTCCACCAATGTTCAAACACCAACATTCGATCTATTATCAAACATAATTTTTGCATATACTTTGAACAGAAAAGCGAAATAGTAAATACATTTCTGTACACTTTAATAACATTTGCCTGTCTCTCATTAGTTGCATTCTAGATGCTTCACGATATTCACGAACAGGAACATTCTCCCTTAATAAACCTTATGGAAGGTGGTCACCTGGAATGACTTCCTGTAAAAACCTGCAAATGCGTGAAGCATCTGGAACGCAACTATTGCAATTCATTTGTTAACGATGTGGTTGATGTTTGTCCCATAAACACTCAAAGCTGCTGTACGCAGTGTTGCCGTTGAGAATTTTCAGAAAGTTGCAAAAAACGGGTAATTGATGAAAAAAAGGGCCACCATATTATTTTTGACTTTTTTTTTACTCGCAAAAAGATAAATCTGATATACCAAGTCAAAATCAAATTTACATGTATTATAAAGTGTTTTCCCTGCCAGAACGTTCCACTGTTAAATTTAAGAAGAAAATAGCGGGACAAGCTTTAAACAAAACATAGAAATCGAGTTGCTGCAAGGAGAAGAGTTGCATTTCCTTTAAAAGTTTTAAGTGGCGCATTTTTTCGTACTTACAGCAGGAAATATTTTTTAATAGTATGGTTCTGTTAACATTTCCTAAAACAAAATCAAAATTTTCAAAAAGTCGGGTCAAAGGGTATTGGCGCCTAAAAAGGTTCAAATTGCCCCTTTAGTCGCACAACGGCAACACTGGCTGTACGACGAGAGAAAATATTAACATATTTTGATTTTCATCAAATCGAAATTTGGTTGTACAAGCCGAAGTTGTAAAGCGTGTTGGATATTTAATAGGATGTAAACAAATTCTGAGAAAAAAGTTTAAAATGTCGATTTTTTATCTTATTTGGCTTTTGCTAGAGAATAAACCATGATAAGAACAATACAAGGTAAAACCACTGAGAGGCAGTCTGACTTTTTCAAGCAATATAATTTTATATGACTTTAGAATGCTTGAAAACATCAGAAAAAAATCATTGCGACGAATAGAGAGAATGATTTTACCTTGTAGTGTTTGTATCATGGAATAAACTGCATTTTAATTAAAGAATAATGGAAATTAAATGGAAGAAAAAGAACCGAGAATAAAATCAACCCCATTCAAGTGCATGGAAGTGTATCTGCCGTACACTCTCGGTCTAAGTAAAAACGTGAGTAAAACGAGCTTTAGAAAACATCGTTACAATAACACAACGTCAACTGTTTAAAATCACCACTTATCATACTCGAAAATTTAAGCCTAAAGAAATTTTAAATTTTCTACCACTATCTTAGATCATTAATTAATTAATTTTAAATTCATTTTTTTATATTTAATGTTTAACTTTACAAATACTTACAATTTCGTATTCACTGCGTAACAACCCGTTATAGCCTCGATTAGAAACGACTACAGTGCCGGGCTTAACTCCCAATCCGCCACTAGTGCCAATTCGTATAAAAACAGGGTCAACGCATTCAGCATAACGCACCAATTTAATTAATTCATGCAATACAACGCTCATGGTGGAACTGCCAACGCCATGGCTAACACACAACACGCAGCCAACCTAACAAATGAGTAGAGAAAAGTAAAAAACGTGCATAAATAAAAATTTGATCACTTATGGATTTATGCACATATGTATGTATTACCATAAAGCCAGCATATCTATGGCCCGCCTCAAATAAATTCTTTTGATAGTCACTTCCCGAATTTCCATCGTAAACCTTTTCATTTAAATATTTAGCCAATTCAAGCATGCGCACATCCTTTCCACCTAAACAAACAACCTAATGGGTGTGCCATTGAACGAAAACAAGGAAAATTAATTTTCGCGTTGGCGCTTATTGCAAAATATGTATTTCTTTCGATACTTATGCTTACCTTAATGTGTCCGTATTGTTTTTTAATCTCAGCTGTGTTCTTGGTATCTGGTATATTTACCGCTAAATGGTATAAGTTATCAGAAGTCATTTGCCCCAAATTTGGATTTGTTCCTGTGAATAGGCTGTATGGAAATGCACGTGAGAATATTCATACATACGGATATTGCGTACATACTGATATACATATATGTACATGTATTCATCAGGGACGGTAATCAGTACATTTCTATTAAAAAAAAAAAAAAATAGCAAACCAGGCGAACTTCGTTCCACCCCAAAGTAAATTTTTACTGAAACATTTGGTCCAACGTTTTCACAAACAATTCACGTACGTTCACGTTTGCTTTTGTGGTCATCTGAAGGCATATCCTCCATTTCCGTATAAAATAACCTAATGTAAGCGTTATGTCCGTGAAGAAGTTCTTGCGGCAACAATGGTCCGGTTCGATAGTGAATCGTCCTTGAATGTATACAGTGCAGTTGGTGGCAATTTCAAAATGGGGTAGCATCATTGGTCTACTTAAATCCAATATACATGTATATGTAGACTTATTTCAGACGAAATACCTTAAATCAGGGGCGCACCCAGGAATGTATTTTAGGGGGGGTTTTATATTTCTAAATATATATCACCGGAAAATACTGAAAATTTGCTTCAGATAATACGCTCTTTAAAATACATTCATGCAAGTTTTATGTACAGTATGTAATAAATAAACAAACGNCATAAACTGCACTTTATTTACATAAGATTAACAGAACTCAAACACTTTTAACCGACTTCAAAAGAGAGGAGGTTATCAATACGCCGGAATACATAACTTTTGACCACGTCAACCGATTTCAATAATCCTTTTTTTATTGGAACAATGGTACCTCAAGGGTCGTCCCGTAATTTGGTTTAGAGATCCGATGATTGGATCATGAAGAAATTAACGGTACCCCTAAATTTGAAGTCGGTTGTGTTCTTTCCTTAAAAACTACTTGTTTAATAAAAAGTTATATAAACTCAAGATGCGCTCAACTTTTAAAAGTACCTAATAAAAAATTTTAAAAGAGTCAGTAAAAATAAATTTATTGATTCCATAATTTTTTGCACTTTTATGTTCATTTTTTCGATTTCTGGTTTCTGGTTTTCGATAGAGATGGTGAGTTTTCACGATTGCTAAATTTTTTTACACCCGAGCGCACTTGTGCACAAGGGTATATTAATTTTGTTCACATAACGGTTGTTTGTAACAGCCAAAACGAATCGAGATAGATATAGACAAATGTATACATAAATGATCAGGATGAAAAAAGAAATCGATTAAGCCATGTCTGTCTGTCCGTCCGTCCGTCCGTGTACGCGATAACTCGAGCAAAAATTGAGATATCTCAACGAAATTTGGTACGTAGGTATTGAAAATGGGCGAAATCGGACTGTAACCACGCCCACTTCCCATATAACGGTAATTTCCAGAAATACGAAAACTGCGATATTTTAGTAACTACTGAATATAATTCACTCAAAATTTATATTTAAAATAACTTTTAGACGAAAAATAAGAATATTATACATTTTTGGAAAATGGGCGTAGCCACGCCCACTTATGGTTACATGTGTATATCTTGGTAACCGCTGCACCAATTTCTTCCAAACTTGGCACAGTTGTTGGCCTTGGTTCAACATACAAAATCGCCGAAAATTTTTAAACTCGGACGATAACTACGCCCACATCCCATATAACGGTAATTTAGAGAAATACAAAATCTTCGATAAATCAGTAAATATTGAAGCTAATTTATTCAAAATTGATGCTTGCAACAATTCTTTACCAAGAAATACGTTTATGTTAAAATTTTGAAAAATGGGCGTGGCACCGCCCACTTATGATCACATATATGTATATCGGTAACCGTTCTACCAATTTGTACCAAACTCGGTATTTTTATTGTGCTTGCCACATGAAAGAAAAACTTTGAAAATTATTGGAAGCGGACTAAAATTACGGCCGCTTTTCATATAACGGTAAATTTCAGAAATGCTTGAAACTTCAATATTTCGAAATTTAAGGACGGTAATTTACTCCAAATTGATACACCCCGGCTTACCATGTAGCGGTTGCTCCGCCCGAACTTAGACTTTCTTAGTTGTTAATATTTCGAATACCGAAAACTNTTGCTCCGCCCGAACTTAGACTTTCTTAGTTGTTAATATTTCGAATACCGAAAACTTTAACTGAACTCTCAAGAAAAACGAAAAATTCATATAAAACGACGGACGAGAAATGGAAAAGAAATTTTCTTCTACCAAAATTTCTTAAATCAGTTTGCAGCTCTCAAGAAAAAAATGCTCGTATATTTATTTCCTCATAGAAATTTACAGCAAAAGCAAAGCGCTTTTTCAGGCAACAGAAAGTATAATAAATATTTCTTATAATTTCCTTGAGCTGGTTTCTTAACTTTAAGATACAGTTTGTATTTGAGGTTATTAGTTTTAGGGGGGGTTTGAACCCCAAAACCCACCCCTTGTGTGCGCTAATGCCTTAAATATATTACAATTGTATTTGTAAGCATGCATACCCAAAATTTTCTAAAGTTCAAAGCAATTTTTAAAGTTTGTTGAGTTTTCATAATTTTTGTATGAAGTTTGAAATGGGGCGCTGGTTAAGTTAAGTGCTAGACCTTTATACAAAAAATATATGCATTAAGTACACAAAAAAAAATATCCAAAACTAGTCAAAATGTCACTTGACTTAATCAGCTGGCCACAAGGGTATATACAAATTTTATAATGAATTTGGAGTGTGCTAATAAAATTTGTTTTCATTTCGTGACAAACTAGTTTTTAACCGACTTCCGAAAAATGAGGAGGTTATCAGTTCGTCGGAATATTTTTTTTTAAGTATGTTACCGCATAACGTACATAAATACATACTAATCTGGTTAAGATCCCATCATTGGATCATGAAATATATATATATTTTTTTTGAAGTCGGTTTTTTTTTTTGCTAAGAATTACTTGTTTATATAACTACATTATTTATTACTATCGTGGAGCGCATGTTATAGACCTGAATTGATATGAAGGGTAATATATGTATGTAAGTGGATATATGAATAACGACCGCTTAAAATTGATCTTAAAATTTTTACTTTCTCTATAGAAATTTTTGGTCTCTGTTATGTAGTTTGACTATTGTCAATTAAACCTAATGGCGTTTTCGTTTCTATAAAAACTGTTGCCTTCTCATTGCCCTCTTCTTTGTTTATATGCGTAGAGGGCAAAGAGAAGGTAACCTTTTTCGGTAGATTCGAAAACGCCATAATGCATAACGTGGAGCGCATACGTTTTTCATTTTCAATCTTATAAATGGTTTATAATGACTTTTGCTAAAATTTCAAAATCGAAAGTTATCAAAAGAAATTTTATGGGATTAGGAAATATTATTTTCTAATTTTTAACCCATTTATATAAGCGTGGTATATAAAAAAGTTTTTTTATTTATTTAACTATATCTTTACTCCTTGCAAGATGCATATCATCTTCAAAGCAAGTTTTCTTTTAACACGATCGGCAATTTTTTGTTCAATTTTAACAAATCAAATTTTATATTTATATTTTATATTTCATAATTTTTCAACCATTTTTAGATGATGTCCCAATTAAAAAGTAGATTTTTTCGGCTTCATACTATTTGTTTCAGAAACATGGATATTTGTTGTAAGAAACTGAACTTACCGGGCCATTACACATTCAATTTTTCCCTTTCAATTTTCAATACTTTCACACTTTTTCACTAACACATTCTACACCATTTCTACGAAAAGTTGTTTTTTGCCCATATAAAAATATATGGAAAATATTGAGCGCTTTGAACGACCTCTAAATTTTTTTTGATTTCAAAATAAAAAAATAGGGATATACTTTTTTCGATATAGAACAATCCTAGCATTACAATTACGAATTTACTGTTTTTGGACCACCCTAATGTACATATAGTTTTCCAGTTGTAAAATTTCTTTACGTCGCACAGTGGTATTTTGGCGGAAAAAATAAGTTTTTTCAATATTTAATTTTTATTTTTAATGGTTCAGCCTAAACAAAGTGATATTTGAATAAGAAAATTGCATGATAACTTTGAACGAAATTGGCAGATTTATACAAACTAAAACCAACAAATTCGGAAGAATTGTATTCAACTAAAACTAATTGAGATTTTTGTTCACCTAGGTAATGTGTTTTTCTTAAAACTTTTGTTTTTATTGTTTTTGTTGTAGGTTCATATAAAAATATATATAAAAAAATCTACCAAATATTTTAACAAATACAGGCAGAAAAAAAATCACACTTTATAAATGCTAACTTTGACACTTTTGATAGGTAAAAACAATGTTTCCCTCGCCTTCCCACTATAAAAAAAATTAAAGACCGGAATATTTTCTATCGATTTCTGAAATAAAATTGGCTCACATTTATGACTTTTAACGTAACCGCATATAGTAATGATGGAATTTATTGTATTTTTAAGGCGTTTTTGGGATCAAGTTTGCACGCGAGGTATGTTTTAAAATAAACCGATTACTCCTGTTTTTTGGATGTTTAATTATAATATTATTGCTTAAAAATTGGCAAAATTTCGGAATTATATGTTCATCGGTCCACTTTTAACGGCCTTTTTAAAGCGGTTTTGAGGTATGGTTTGTATGGTTGTTGTTGTGGTATGCTGTGAAATAAACCGATTACACCCACTTTTCGAGGGTTCATATACATATATCGTTATTAAAAATAAGTGGACGGAGTCATATATTCATTCGTGTGCTTTTTAGGGCATTTGAAGTCATATTTTAGGTTAGGTTTATATGTGGGGTATGCTTTAAAATAAATTGATTACGTCCATTTATTTGGAGTTTATACTCAACATTATTACAAACTTCTGTACGAAATTTCGGACTCATATACATAGTATTCATCGGTGAAATTTTTATGGCATTTTTAAGGCGTTTTTGAGATTAGGTTTATATGGGAGGTGCGCTTTAAAATAAATCGATCACGCCAATTTTTCCAAAAAAATTTCACATACAAAAAATTCAAATTCTATGCCGATTCCTTCTAATTTTTTTCAAAAAATTTATAGAGCTGTACCACTGTGCGTCGTTCAAATTCGGATTATACTTATTTATCAATAAATAAATTGTTAGATCAAGGCTGCTCAAGTGCATTGTTTGTTGTCCTTATCTACATAGGCACATATCGCACATGCTCTGCAAAAGTGTATTAATTCAAAATTTGTAATTACAATGAAAACACCCTTCCCCATATGATTATCATGAGCTAAGGAATGGGTTTTACGTTTTTTGGTAAGCGGAAAATTTCGACTTATGTACTCACCTTTGGAGAATGCGTGCGATATGTATTTTCTAACACACTTCAATGCATTTCAAGGAATGCCTTTAAGCGTTTGCTGCACTTATATTTTTATACCCGACGGCACTTTTGCACAAGGGTGTATTAACTTTGCTCGCATAGATGTTGATATTTATCAAAACACTCGAAATAAAAAGAGAAATCAATTAAGCCAAGTCTGTCTGTCCATCAGAGCACACTATAACCCAAATTAAATATTTGATAACGCAACGAAATTTTGTAGAAAGGTTTCTCTTTATCCATGGTAGGTTGGTATTGAAAATGGGCGAAATCGGACAATAACCACGTATGGGCATAACGGTATTTTCGAGAAATGAAAAAACTATGGCTAAGTGGAAGTTCGACCTATCCCGGCAGCCAGTTTGAAAACGCCATATCTCAGAACATTTTTAAACAACGCTCTATCTCAGAAAACTTTTCAAAAGCGCCCTATCTCAGAATTTGCTTGAAAAACGCCCTATCTCAGAATTTGGTTGAAGAACGCCCTATATCAGCTGCTGATTCAAAAACGCCCTATCCCAGCTTATTTTCAATGTTTTTTCTTTTGAGATAGGGCGATTTTGAACCCAATTCTGCAATAAGGCGTTTTTCACTAAAATTCTGGTTGTTTTTGAACTGGCAGCGGAGATAAGTCGATCTTCCACTCAGCCAGCGATATATACATACATACATATGTTCATATTTATACGCAAACAAAATTTTTACAGATAATCAACTTAATGTAAGATAGCCATATCTCTTTCTTCTCGGTTACTTTGATTTTGATTTACGTTCATGGACCGATCACTTGGAATGTCCCAAACACATATCTGTGGTCAAAATCAATAATCACTCAAGTTCACTTAAGACAAAATGAATTATGTATACAACTCTATTTTCATCATAAGACTGCATGTTTAGGTGAAAACCTTTACATACGTCCTAAGGTACTTTTGCAAATAAAAATCGTGGATTTTCTCGGTGCATTCGGGGAGAGCATACAAATTAGTTGAAGACCCTGGTCCGATGACACGTTCATCCTCTTGATAAAATTTTACGGTAATATTTCTTATGTATATTTACTTAGTTATCATCTTTTTTGCTCGAGGAGGAAAAACTTTATATCCTTTCGTTTAAATTTTTCGGAAATATAAATATTTTAGTTAAGACTTTTACAATATACAAGAGATATTTTCTTATGTAATATTAAAGAAAATTAACCCTTTGCCGTCCCTGATGCATACCAAAATAAATTTTTTTAACTCTACTTACCGCCTTGGAGACATCTTTTAGAACTTTTAATTTATCCTGTAATACAAATGTAAAAAAAACATGTTATTTATGATATTTGCATTTACTACGATGAAATAAAAATCAACCTTTAATGTCAGTTGTTTGCTTTGTCCCCGTATTTCAAATACAGGCTTTTCTTTTTCTATACAAGCCAGGCCTAGCTCTTAAGTGTACGAAATTCCAAACTTGGGACGAGTTTGATCCGTATTCATCGAATTAAAATGATTGAAAATGGAAGAGACAAAAACAATAAACCAATAACTAAAGTACACTAAATGTAAAGGTCCACACCAAAACATTGCATTTCAATCATAAATCATTTTATGTAATTAAAAGTTGCTTTTGCCATTTATCGCTAAAATAAATTGTATGCTATAATAATAATACGGATTGTGCCACAAAACTAAATTGCTTACAATATCAGAAAATACTTCAAAATATGCAACGCCAGAACCAAGGAAACTCTATTTATAGGGATAAGGATTATGGCAGCCCTAGTATATGTGAATACCAGCGTGAGTCCATTCAACTAATGGAGAAGCTGCCTTCATTTTCGATGCTAACATACTTAAATCAATCAATTTCGTTTTCTTTCAAAAAAACCAACCAAACAGTTGAAGAAATCAGCCCCAGCCATACTGGTAGGTGAAGCTCTGCCAAATAATAAGTATTTCTTCTTCTATTGGTTCATTGGCCTGAAATCTTACAAAAGCTAATAGATTGGCTTTATCAGCTACATATGTCAGTAGTCTCAAATCGGAGAAACACTAACATATGTGTAAGCGCCATTTCTTATTATTATTTCCATTACTCCTTTTTTGTATAACCGGAAGCGGTCCAAATTCTCGCCAGAACCGGTTCTTCAAATACTCGGAACCGCACATCACTAATACGCGAACAGAAAATTGCAAGTTGTACGAACAGCTGATATAATTTTTGTTTACATTTAAAAGATTAAAATTGAAAACGTACAGGCAGTGTCACACGATTGGTACATTTGTACAGATTTGTATATATTTTATATTGGTACAAAATGAAAAAATTGGGACGAACATTTTTTTTTAGTCACACGATTGGTACAATACAGCGAACTTCTATTGAAAAATTTGAACAAATTTTTTTTTCGTCATGGCGCAATAAACATGTTAAGTAATAAAATTCCTTTCTCTCTTTATTTTCTGACATTTGACTGCCTTAGGGCCAGTTTTTCAGTGCCAGTTTAAACTTAGTTTTCGTAAACTGAGTTTAAATTGAACAGCTGGCTGACATTTGATTGGCTGATGTTAGTTTAAACTAGAGCTGTAAAACTATCGATGGTACTATCGATTGGTTTTATTTTTTTGTACTATCGGATGGTCGTTGGCCACTAACGATAGTCTTTGTTTGAGAAAATATATATATTGTTTATATTATCTGTACTTCTTAGTATGCATTATTTTATTTTAGAAAATGGGGATTTGGCTACATTGATTTGCTTAAACATCACTATTTTTTTTACCTTTACCGGGTTTAACACGGTTCAAGTAATGAATTCAATTCTGCTTGCTAGTGGAAGAGAGTGGAGAATCTGTACCATCTCAAGTGGTTCCAAGTTTCTTGTTTTGCTTTTGACATTTTCCCAAATAGAAAACATAAAAGAGAATGAACCAGAATTGCTTCAAAGTACTTGAATCATGTAAATCGGGTTTAATAAAATTGGAAAAAAAAAACTAGTTTGAATATGTTTTTGGAACCATACTATGGTGTTAGTGATTCTGCTTCGATGGAAGAAAGAATTGATATAAGCCAGGGTTAGTCAAATTTTGGAGATTCTTGTATCGAAGTGAAAGGCCAAAGTTACTGAAAATCGCAATATAGTTTCAATGCAAACTATCGAAAACATCGAATTTGATGACTATCGGTAGTTCTACAGCTCTAGTTTAAACAAAAGCCAGATTGTGCGTTTAACCTGAATTTAAACCACGGCCGTGCACTGAAAAACTGGCCGTTATAGTCAAGTTTTATAGGCAAATTTTCAAATAAGGCCATGTCAAAATTTTTCTTCTCGCTCTAATTACTTCCCTGGTATAATTCGTGATTGTGATAAAGAAAATATGTATGTGTGCCTTCACACGACTGGGATACAATTTGCACCAAATTGTGGGCAAATGCCCAATCGTGTGACACTGCCTTAAGAAAATTGATCGCAAAGTGTTATCCTCGCACAATTTATTGACTAAGCGAATAATTGCTTACTTCTTGCAAGTTTAATCAGTCATATTTTATCATTTTTCACTTCCAAAACAACAAATTAAATTTAGTGATTTGCGTAAATTCCATATAGCGATTTTTGATCAGCTGTTCTCTTGATGGCCAATTGCTGCTGGTAAAAATTTGTCCATCAGAACCCAAAAACCTCCACTCAAAATGAAATGTCGCTTTACTCTCTCAATTTCCCCTACTTTGCAAGTGGCACAGCTGGCCAATTTTTATAACTATCAATAATTATCAGGTACGCGAATGCAACTAATGCTACAAGTTCAGCAGTGGATATGCGAATTTTATAGACCGTCGATCGGTATTTTCGCTTCCCTTTCATATCCGTTTGCAATTCTAGCGATTATCCCAGACTTGTTTTTTAATTTTTTATTCACTTGCCTCAACCAAGCTTAGATTTGATTTTTAAATTTTATGTATTTCCAAAATTGCACCCGAACACTTTGAATTACAATCTATAACTGATAAACTAAAATAAACTAACTCGAAGTTTTAGAATGAGAAAAACAAAACTTAACCCAGCACTGATTTAACGCGGTAGCTAAAACAAAACGACGCCAGTTAAAAATGTTATCAATTTAGTACAGTAATATTGGGTAGTTATCCAACAAATTAACCACATTAGTTCTGATACAGCTTACAAGAAAAGTATATTCCCGCAGTAGGTCCAATCCCGTATTCAAAACCTAAAAATTCGCTAAGAGCGAGAGAGTAACACTGAAAGTACGGGATCGCTTTCTAGTAAAAAAATGGTAACTTCTGACAAATTCAACATAACCTCCAAACTTTTGGTTGTATTTTTTTGCTTATTTTGAATGTAAACACACTCAGATCACACATGTAAATAACCAAAAATACTTTCAAATCCACTTAAACAAGTAATTAAATAGTTTTCAACATGAATTAGTAGAGTGCACTTTTATTTTGTTTACAATTTGGTTGCCAAACACAGTACAGCTGATCGTTTGACACATTTACCAGAATTTACCAGCAAAAAATCTTCGGACTGAAACTGGTAACTTCTGACAGAGAGAGAACCTTATTTAGTCTTATTTGTGTCCTCCCAATAGTCAGCGAACCGACTATTTCTGACTGGTCCGGACTCATACGGGACTGTCTACCTTATGCTGCTGAGGATGAACGATTGCCAGAAAAGTGATCAGATACAGATAACAGATCAATTAAGCACCAAAGGTAATAAGGGACATACATATAACGTTTTGCGGTATCGCAGACGATGTGCGCTATTTTGCATTTTAAATAATTAAATTCGAATTGTATCTAAACCGAACTAAAAGCGGAAACTTCTACGAAAACAAATGTGGGGTGTAAAAATTTAATATGAGTGATTATATGTATGTATGTACATAATATGTATTATAGGGCTGGCACACAATGACGTAGGTTGACGGACAGAGAAACATATCAAATTCGCTTCTGATAGCGTAGAACCCAATAAACACTAAAAAAATATTTCTCCAACCTTGGAGAAATTCATAGTTCCAAGTTGATATCCCACATCATTCTCCAACTCATCTCTAACCGACGCGCAGATACGTAAAAAGTGATAGAGAAACGAATTTTTAATTATCAAGTGAAAAACTATAGCTATATAAAGGGGAAAATTACCAACAAAAAGTAAATAATCTTTAAAATATCCTCAAATAATCTTGAAAGAAAATAAAACGCCAAGTGAATCTAGTGGCAAAGTTACTGTCGGACTGTATACTGTGAAGTGAATTATTGTAATACGATATTGATTAACTACATAATATAAAAGGAGTAATAAAATGAAAAATTAATATTTAAATTCATCTATGTACGTCGATTCAATCAATAAGGTATGAGGCATTTTACTATTTCAATTTCAGTATTTCAATGATATGTTTGAGACCAACAGGTGAATTACATTGGAGTTCAAGTTGATAACTAGCATTTTCTCAACTTGATAAACAGTCCTTTTTCATACAAAGAAAAATGCCCTTTTTGTTCAGAACGCTATGATCCTCCACTTGAGGTACTGTTGAGAAACAACGTTGGAGACTTGAGAAATACCTTAGTTCTCAACTTAACCTCAAGTTGAGCTCAAACCTAAATGTTTATTGGGAAGCAACAACATCATCGTCATAGGGTTGTAAAAAAAAACATTGCTGTATCGAGCAACATCGATAGTCCTGGCCAGTGATGGAAATGTAGGCACAAAAATGCCATTTTTGGCACTTTCATTCACAGAGGCACTTTTGGCACAGTTCATCCTGCTTTGGCACAATCTTAAAATACAGAAATTTAAAACAAAAGGCCACTATAAAATAAAAGAATCACATACCACATTATAGATTAAAAAAATACAAAGAGTGAAAATTAAAAGCACTAAAAGTAAAATAAGGGCCATGGGAAATATTCACAAACCGCTGAATTCTATTGTGAATACGCAGTACGAAAAGTAAGTGAATTTTTATAATTTTTGTGCGAAGGTTGAAATGACGATTATGGTACATATATTGTGTTTATTAAATTATGAAGTAGACTTTTATATAAATTCTTTCGAAAATAATCAATGAACAGAATAGGCGAAACTGGTCAATATGTCTTACTGCCTATAAAAAATGTCATAATACCTATATTTCGGTGTATTTCCCCTCCACACTTATGCTGGATTTCCTTTAGTCATTAAATAGGCATTTCAATGCCTAGTAGAAATTCAGCATTAGGTTTGTAGCTTTTACAATGGGCGCACATGCACAACTATTTACGCCATTGTATGCTCTGAACTTGAGTCATTCTTGCGGCTGTTTGCAATTTTAGTCATACTTCTTAATAATATTTTTACGGTTATTTTAAAATTAACCAATTAATGAAACACAAAACTGCGATACAATCAATTTGTAAATGGGCCAAAAGTAATCGATTAATTTAATCAAATGATTAATCGCTGCCATCCCTACACATATGTATGTATAATAAAAGCATTACAAGGTAAATTCATTCTCTCAATTCGTCGGCCATGATTTTTTTCTGATAATCATGGCTTGAACTGGAAAATAAAAAAATTAAATTGTTCACAATTGTTGTTGTTCGAAATTGAAAATGAGAATGTGTGTGTGACTTTGAGTTTTGAATTTTAAAATTATATTGTTGGCAAACGTCAGACTGCCTCTCAATGGTTTTACCTTGTTATGTTTTTATCATGTATGT